AAAGACATAGGCCCTGCCTGCAGGAGGTTTACTAGTCACTGAATAGGTTTCCGACAACAAATCCTGGTAGTTATTTTTGTCAGTGCCTAGTGTCTCACATCCAGATACTCCAGATGGTAACTAGACACCAGGCTGGTAGCCAGTGGGAGAAGCTGTGTTGTGAGCAATTTGGGGAAAATCTGCTATTAGGGAGAAGTGGCAAGAGCTTCCTATCAAATGAATGTGATAATCCAGCTTAGACTTTAAATTGGTTGTTATTTTGCCAAGCTACTCAATGACGAGCACTGACAAATCTGTTTAACATATCTAAAGTGAATATTGTCATTAATAGGTTGAAAATTCATATAGCCACGAAAGGAAAGCCGGATTGTCCAAAAGTGTTGAACTCCCACCTTAACCCGGAAGACCGAGTTAATTACTAGAGGTGAAAATATCTGTCACCCTCCCCAAGTGATCTAGTACTGAGTCACTCAATAGAGCTTGGCGGGGAAATCAAACACCTGTAGGTGACCCGTCAACCTAAGGTCTGACTCCACTTCCATGTCCACACACCAGGAAGTATAGCAGATTAGTGATTAGGTTTGCTGGCCAGGGTGGATATAGTTCAGCTGTCCTGTTGAGAGGCCAGCAGATCTTCACACTTTGAAAAGTGTCTGGGCCTGGACATGTGTTCAGTAGTAGAGACTCAGCTAGAATGTGCGGAAGGAAGCCTAGGTGCAAGTACTCATGCATGAGGGATAGAAGAAAGAAGGAGGTCAAAGGGGAAGATGATGGGAGAAAAAGGAGACAGGGGAGGAGGGGAAGAAATGTGAAGAGGACGGGAGAGAGTTGACCTTCTGAGGAGGTCCCTCAATGACATGAACTATCAGCATCTTGCTGTCACAATGCAGGCTTATGAGACAACCTCTCTGCCTGCCTTTGTTTTTGTTTTTTTTTTTTTTCCAAACAGAAGTGTAGTATACTTTGTCTCACAGCGATTTATTACCGTACACACACATGACAAACAATTGCATATTATGTTTTTACAATGAAGACTTAAGTAAATTACGTTTTGTCCCCATTATGCGATGGCATTCACATCATTTCCTCTTGTTAATTTTCTCATTAGTGATGCCAGGTCAGACTCTAATGCTCAAAAGTGTCACTGCTAAATTCTGATAACCTCACAACAGAGCCTGCAGCCTTCTCTTTGTTCTAGTTAATCTTCACGTATGTGGTTCTCATTCCCTGGGCTTCCCATGCCTGGATTTTCAGTATAAATTCTCCTGCCCGTATTTCACATGCGTGTCCACAGGAAAGCTGAGCCCGTGAACCCCGTGCTGCTTGCTTCTCAGGGTGTTCACTCCATGGAAGTCACTGGCTTGGCTGTCATCCTCAGTGCTGACCATCCTCAGGGGGCCCTTTGCCACAGGGAGCACATTCGTGCCCTTCCCCACAGTTACTTACACTACACACTTAGACTTTGTAGATAACACCTAGGTTTGCATTTTCTTCACAGGGTTACAGGTAAAATGAGGTTGTTGTGCCCAGACTCTGAACCCCCCAAACCACCAAGAAACCAGTAGGAAGGACCAGCAGTGGGGCAGGGCATATATTTGGGTAGAGCAAGTGAGGTGTCTGGCAGTCTGCTGGTTGCATAGCAACAGTCTCAGGGTTGGTGCACCTCTGGGCTGGGGGAACCTGTCCTGAGTTGATTGGTCAGCTGCAGCTGCAGAAAGGTTGCTATGCCTAGAGGCCCTCCCAGGGTGGCTGCTACACCCTGCATTCCATGATTATCAGTAAAGCATTATCCAGAGCCTGTCAGTTAACTTCTGATTGGTTCCTTGCCACATGGAGGGTATCTGGATTCCTAGTGATTAGGACAATGTCGGGGGCTCAGCAGATGTTGCTGAGCCAGAGGCCTACCTCTTGCTGGGTCTTTTCTGCAGCCTGTCATGGCTGCCAAAGGAGGGGGCTGGGTGAGGGCCTGGGCCCTTCAAGGTATATGATAGTAACTGTACTTCTGAAAAGACAACTTCAATCTTCCTTCTAAACATCAGACGAGGAGAGAGAAAACATCCCTGAGATGCTCAAGCTGGAGGCTGCCTCTCACCTGGCCCGTTTAGTGAGACTACATGTGTTAACTTACAGACATACTTCACTCTTCCTTCCTTCCTTCCCTCCTTCCTTCCTTCCTTCCTTCCTTCCTTCCTTCCTTCCTTCCTTCCTTCCTTCCCTCCCTCCTTCCTTCCCTCCTTCCTTCCTTCCTTCCTTCCTTCCTTCCTTCCTTCCTTTCTTTCTCTCTTTCTCCCTTCTTTCCTTCTTTCCTTTCTTTCTTTTTTTCTTTCTAGACAGGGTTTCTCTGTGTAACAGCCCTGGCTGTCCTGGAACTTTCTCTGTCCTCTGTCGATCAGGCTGGCCTCAAACTCTGAGATCTGCCTGCCTCTCCCTCCCAAGGGCTGGGATTAAAGGCAACTTCACTCTTATCTTGAAACTATTAGTGGGAATTTTTTAAACCCTTTACAGGCTCCAAGTCAACAGATCATAAACAACATTTAGAATTAAAACATTAACGTATTCTGCTTCCCTGCTCTCCTCCTTCAAACTCCAACAAGAGAAGACTTTTAAAGAAACACTACCATAAAATTGGTTATTGCCTGCCAGCTGATTATTTCCAGTCTTTCTGGCATCCATGGGTCCCTGAGTTTGTTTGCATGTATGCTTTTACCCCTTCACACAGCTCTGCTGTCCAGCAGCTCCTACTTGTTTAGGTAAAACTTTCAGCTACTTTACAGGGCCATGGTCTCCTCTGTCAGAGCCCTGGAGGAAGGAGATTTAAATATTCACTCCAGCTTTAAGCCATCTGACTTTGGGCAACTTTTTCAATTCGAATTGAAAAGCATGTCTTTGGATATTTGAACCCTGATAAAAGCTCCATTCCATTTGTAACACGGTGAGAAGGAATGCTTGTATGAGGCGAGGAAGGGTGTGTGCCTTTCGTCATGTGGGGAACGTGACGCCTCCAATCTTCAAACGCAATACAGTGTTTGAGGAGTTTATCCTTTTACCTTTAAATATAGGTGGTATACTTTTTTTTTGAAAGTTGCAGATGTGCCCATAATGATCAATAATAATTGAATTGCCTTTTAAGAGTAATTGATCCAATTATTTAAATGCCTAATCGCCAACCATGATAGATAGATAGACAGACAGACAGATAGATACCTTAAAATATAATGATACATCATTTAAGGGTTAAAACTAAATTTTAAATCATTGAGGTTTTTTAAACATTTTTATGTTTACATATGGATGTCTGGATGCCCCATGTCACCTGTATAAATTGGTAAACTCTCATCTTTATTGCATAGGAAAGCCAGGAATGTGCATATTTAACACATATCTCTAGTAGTAACAACCAATGCAATTTTTTTCAAGGACACAATAAGCGATGCTACATTAAAGTTACAGAATAAAATATTTTTCTGTGACTAGACTGCAAATTTGTGTGTTTTTTAAATTCACAGATCTGTGTATTTTACTAGGCATGTGTGTAATTTGCTAAGCTGTGTCCTGAGGACACAGTTACACTATAAATAACCTCATAAACAGCCCAAAATGGTGGTGGAGAAAAAAAATCAACTTTTCAAATTCTAGGAAATAATGTGCAATCATCACAATCAGGAGAAACACATCAATTATGTATTTAAAAATAATAACCATAAACTCTGACATCTTCAGCTATGAAGCAAATTGTTATTTTACTCTTTATAATCTAAGACTTTGGGATGCAATGGTTTTCAGTGGCTGAAGTAAGAATGTCATCATTACCCCTACACATAAGAATGTAATGTCTGTGATCAATACTGATGACCTAAATGTGTTTCAATGCCGAGGCTCCCGCTTCCTCGGAGTGTATTTTATGTTACTTCACATGTAACTAAGTTGTAGTCCTTGTCACCAGCTTAACCTTCCTGTTTGCATTTGGCTCACGGGATTGAGATGTGCAGGTGACACACGTGTCCCTTCCTGTAACTGTGGGTTTACAGCATGTTGCTTACAGTGAGAATCCACTTAGCAGAATGTGTTGGTTGTTCGAACAGTATTCTGCTTTGAGACTGTTCTTCCAGGAGGACTATCCTGTGGTCTCTCTCTTTGAGGGCATCCACTCCTTACTGGGTTGCACAGCAAAGGCTCTCTGCATCTCAAGACAAGTACAAAATAGGACACTGGGATGTGTAGAACACATACATGTTATAAAGGTTAACTGCTTTCTGATCCAGACTGATAAACTTATTTAAGGATACTACATGAAGTCGATAGAGTGTTCTCCTCAGTGTTTGATGTTCACGTGTGTATGTAAAGCTATTCTTGAGGCTGTATCCTAAGATATCCTTGTGAAAGTGAAATATTCTTTTAAATTTATCAATTGTTTGTTGAAGCAGCTTTTCTTTGTTATGGATAAGAATCAGTGTGTGTTTTGGAGTTTCTTTTAGAGATGTGTCTGTTTTTATCATGAAGTTAAGTAGTAAGCATCCAGTTAATTTTTATCAGTGTAGGTAGAATGCTCACATACCAGCATCCTCTCCTTCCTTCCTTGCCAACGTGTTTCCCAATTCCATACAATTCCCAATTCAGTAAGTCAAAGATTGAACCAATGCAGACAAGACAAGAGAGTTACTCTGTATGTAAAGATGGTTTCTTAGTGACACACGATGAACTTAAGGGTAACAGAAGCAGGCTTTGGCCAGATAATACCAAATGCTTGCCTTCCTAGTCGTCAGTAAGGCATGAGTGTGATGATAATTTCTGTTCTGTGCCCCTGAGCCTACTATTGCCAAGAACCTATTGTCTGCTGTGGCTCTCCCAAGCAGTTACATTGTAGAACTTTGATAGCTTTGTTTGTTCAATGTTTTGGGTGTAACCAGAAATAGGCATAGGGAACATGGTGCATCAACTGTGTGCTTCTCAAGGGTGTTGGCGTTATGACTGACAGTCTCTCTCTGTCTTTTCTTCTGTAGCAGTTCTATGCTGCCCAGCTAGCCGCAATGCAGGTTTCTCCAGGAGGGAAGCTCCTAGGCCTACCCCAAGGCAACCTTGGTGCTGCCGTGTCTCCTACCAGCATTCACACAGACAAGAGCACAAACAGTCCACCACCCAAAAGCAAGGTACCCTCTTCAATAAGCTGGTCTGTCTTCAATTGGGCTTCTGCTGTTCACTCAGGGGTATTTATTAAGGTACCCTCTTCAATAAGCTGGTCTGTCTTCAACTGGGCTTCTGCCGTTCACTCAGTGGTATCTATTGAAAGTCTCATAGATTGCAGCCACTGGGCTAAACTCAGGGTATACATGGAGGTAAGGCTTTTAGAAGGAGCAATAGCTGTGTGTGTAAATTTACATTTCTAATAATTGACTTATTCACTCGATGAACCTGTCAATAGTTACAATGAAAATTTGAAATGTGCATCTTTGAACCAGTGAGTTTGCATCCTTAAAAATAGATATCTACAAACAATCAAATAGCCATCCTTTATAATCTAAAGAATAATCAATAATAAATTCCACGGAGCCATGTATGGATAAAGTATATTAGAATTTATTAGGAGAGAGTGGCTTCAGTAAGAAATGCAAATGTTTGCCAAGGGACAAACAACTGAAATAGAAACTCAAATACCAGTAGAATTGAGACATATGGAGTGTTTCTTAAAAACTATCAATAACTGTTATAATGCAGTATGGTAATGGTATAGTTGTAATTTTAGATATGTCATCCATCCACCAAGATTATCATGTAATGACATGAAGATACTAATAGTGTTGGGAGACTATTTAAACACAGTTGTGGCTTTAGAGATGTGGAAACATTCCCCAAGAACATGGGGTAAGCTAGGGGAGTTCAAGATGAAAGCCTCTTACACAAGAGCAGAGAGCCTTGTGCAAAGAAAAGTCTTCCTGTGTGCAGACTTCACGTGTGTGCTGCTGTGGGAACACGTTAAGCTTTCTGTGACGTGAGTGAGGCTAGCCAAAGAATGGTGGGTTTTTTTTTGTGACTACTCAGAAAAATAACTGCAAATATTTAGTTAACATTAGAAAATACGAACCAGAAAATAGACACTGCTAATAATTTTTCCACCAAACATCCTTTATTTTTAGTTATCTAGAAATTTGCTTCTGTCTTCCATCCCACGAAGGAGATGTGAGGATATCTTAGGAGAGTCAGGGTGGAGCGGTCACCAAGTATGTGAATGAAGCACGTGAGGAAGATTCCTATTGAAAGAGAGGGAAACACAGAGCATCAGCTCAGAGATGGTACAACGCCCGGTAGTGGAGTCTTCTGGAAACGGGACCATTGGGTCAACTGTTGAAAGACAGAGTTCCCAGTGCCTTTTCTCTATTGCTAAGAACACATTTATTCACCAGCACAGCCTGACAGAAGAGCTGTGACTGTGGCTGGGAAAACCCTTGCACACTGCCAGACCACAGGGCAGGGATATAGGCCATTAGCAAATTTCATCTGCTGTTGGAGGACCTCACACACCCTTTGCTTAACGTATAAGGCCCGGCCTGCTTCTTTTTTATCATCTTGGACACGTGTGAGGTGTTAAAGCTCTGAGGCAATTATAATAGTTATCAAATCTGGTTTAATTCTGAAGTGGCGGCATTGTGACAGCTCCTGGTGCTAGCAGTTGCAAAGTGTTATATTTACAGAGACGTCTGAAGCAAAATAAAGATGCGGGTGGAGTCCTTGTTACACACAGACACCTCTGTGAAGGGTGACTCTGTTTCTCCCCATTGATGTATTCGCTGCCCTTCACATTAAGATCCACTAGAGTATTTCCTCTCAGGATTGAGGACTGTTTGATTCTGTTTTATACAATCAGTGGATTTTCCCCCTTACTTCTGGGTAAATTTTTAACATTAATATCTTCTCAACCAATTCACTTATACAAATAATGAGGAAGTATTTAATGCCAGACAGCCTCTTCAACCTTTGCCTCTGCTCGGTCCCCAGCCATTCATCCATCTGTCCATCCATTAGCAGGCTGGCTGGCGATTGCTACACGGACCCTTTCGTAGGTAACAATGGCGAATGCCAAAGCCACTGAAGTCCTCTTTGTTGTGATTGGGAAAGGGCTTAGTGAGCCGAGCGGTTTTATGGACTCGTGAAATCCTATGCATTAGGCACAAAAGACAACAATTGTTTTAGCGGTGTGGAGAGTCTACCACATCTTAGTTTTGTATATGCCTCTCTCTATTTCACTAAAGTATAACAGAAGATTGTGTTTCAGTTACCACGATTCACAGCATATAAACATACATTCTGTAGTTTATCTTTGAAGTGCAATTACTTTGTAAGTTGGCCTTCATGAATTTCCTATCACATAAAGTTTAATGGGTACGCCTCTTCCCACCCACACTCTCGGCATACATGTAAAGATTTAACCAAGCACAGCATTCTTCTCTCCCAGTGATAGCAACAGTTTAGTAAAAACGTGTGTGTCCCTTGTCCAGGGTCCTCTCACATGCTGCCTGCCACTACCTTTGTTATCAGAAAGAATTCCAAAATAATGCCCGTGGTGGCTGAGTTCACAGGAAAAATACACTGAATTAAGAGGGGCCATGACACCAAGTTGCATCATTTGACTGTAGCTCCAAGAATTATAACTGGTAATAAATAAGCAGAAGCCATTCACTCTCTTGTAGCTCAGAAATGTCGTTTACACATGGCATGATGGATATTGGGACTCCACAGAGCTCATTTATTCATGAACATTCATTTATTAGCATACCTATGTTTTTAAACAATCAGCTATAGGTACCTTGGGGGATATTTTCTGGGTGTTTTTGTGTTTTGTTGTTGCCAGTTTCTATGGCTGTCTTACTATCACACAATAATATAAGGGCTTTGTGTGCGTACCTACTTGGCATAAATGGAACTGACGGCTTACGTTACTAGTATATTTACTCTTTGGAACAGTGGAGTTGCATGTCAAATTCAAGGGATGACAGATGGACAATGCTCCTACTGACAGCTGTCAAAAGTGAAGGGTGTGCTCTGAGTTACACCAGCTACTTCCTCCTGGCTGTACCATTGCCTCTGACTCCCAACTCCAGAGGACACAAGCAAAACTTATTTGCAATTTGCAAAATGAAAAAAAAACGTGGAAGGGGGGATCAAAAGGAGGGGCTCCAAAAGACTGTAAAATTGTGCAGCGTGAGTTCTCTGATGCATGCTGTTTTCAATCTGCTGTGTGCCAGTTGGAGGCTTGGGGAGTGTGTGCGCGCGACAGAAAGGATAATGCTGGGAAATGATAGAGTGGCTGCGACCTCCGAGCTCAGCCTGGAAACCCAAGACATTGATTTCACTTAGCATTCCTGCTGAGAGATCTGGCGGAGTTCAGTTGTAATAAAAGAACAAGATTCTGTTCTAATGGTAATGGCGTATGACAGACGTATCACTTTGCCTGTCCTCAGCACCAGAGAGAGCAGGATTGGAGAAAGGTCAGCTGACCTGCCTGGGGTGTTGTACAAGTGCTGTACTGAGCTTTGAACCGCTGCCTAGGAACGTAATTATTTATAATATTAAATGATAAAGGAAGCTTTAGAGGGCTCGCAGTGCATGTCTGAAAACTGCATGCAGGAAGTGCATTTTGTTAACAGAGGAAATTCTAGAATGAGGTCTGGTCTATTCCAAGTGCATTTGAGAGCACTGGCTTTCCTGTCCTTGATGTCACTGCTACCGGCTGTCCTCATCGATGCCTGAAATGGCATCGCTGGTTAATGTTATAAATTGGTACCATGCAGTGTGTGTGTGTGTGTGTGTGTGTGTGTGTGAGTGTGTCTGTGTGTGTGTATGTGTCTGTGTGTATATGTGTGTGTGTGTG